GTGAGACTGAATCCTAACTCCGTCGCTTTCTAGAGCCTGGCATGGGGCCTGGCACAGAGCTCAATAAATACGCAGTATTTATTGGATGAGTGGGATGGATGACCCTGGGCAGTGCAATTTCTTCCCCTGTATAATGAGAGTCCTAGATCACTAGCACCTTCCACAAACAAATGCAGGCACATCCTGCCTGTGTGTGCCTGGGTTGCTGTAAGCACTGGCTCCACACTGCCTGTCACCATCATTACTCTGTCCTTAGCCATGCTGATGAGAGAACCTGGGCCTTGTGCATGCTAAGCCAATGCTCGATTCTTGAGCTGCAGCCCAGTCCCTGTGCCCATAGTCATGACGCTCAGGAGGAAAAGGAAAAGACACTAAGGAGTGAGAAGAGACAAGAAGGCTTGGTTTGCTGGGCTTGAGGTCAAGTGATTAACTGCACACTTGGTATTTTTCATTAGTGGGGGGGGCACTGTAAATGTACAAATCCTTTTTGTGGGTTGCTTCATGTTAAGCTCCAGTGACGAACAAAGGAGACAATGATGAATGAGGGACATTATGAGGGGTGTGGGAACAGTGGTGGCAGCACAGAAAGACACAGTGTCAGGAGTTCTTGACCAGGGACTGGAGCCCTAACCTTAACCCCGCAGCATGACTTGGGGGAAATTTTAGGACACTGGGTGCCAGCATCTAGGAAAGGGTGGGAGGAGAGGAAGCTCAAGAATGAGCCCACCTCAACCCTCAGGAGCCAGCCCTGCAGAGGCCTCAGCCCTGGGTGCCCTGCTGGACCCTCCAGCCCAAAGGACCCTCAAGAACTCTGCCCTTAAGTCTTTGCTTGGGATCTGGGGACCAGGAAACCTGTATCTCCAAAGGACTTTTTGATGCCTGTCTCCCCATTGCATGGACTCTCCAGGAGATGCCTGTGTGTCCACCATTACACTAGGACACCTAAGGACAGGGTTTGCCTCTGCCACCAGATTACAAGCTCCTAGGGACAGGGTGGTATCTCCCCATTAGACTGGGGACCCTCAGGGCCAGCCTAGCGTCTTCTTCTCTGTCTCTGTATGTACCGCAAGCCATCATCTGCAGTATTCATGTTGCAAAAGGAGTCTTTTGTCCAACACTGTACTGAGTTGTTTTCTAAGAGTCATTTTCCAGTGAACTGATCCTCTGCCAAGAGCAAAGGGGAGAGAGAGGACTACGGTCTTTGAGTCCTAACCTCAGATGGGCCTGGTTCTTATCCCTACACTTTTCCACTAATGCTGGGGATTAAACTCTGGGCCTCTGTATTGATCTGCATCATCAGCTGCCCTGTCCCCTTTTATTTTGTGACAGGGTCTCACTAAGTCACTAAGTTGTCCAGGCTGGGCTCAAACTTGAGATCTTCCTGCTTCATCCTCCTATTCCCTACACTTCTTTAGAAGGACCCAAGTATGAAGCCAGAGACATCAAATGCTGAGTGCTTAGTGTTGGGTGGCAGCTACAAGGGAACCAAGTCTCAAAGGAGGCTTCTGCACATCTGACCTAGCTGTGCCATTTGCCCCCTGAGCTCCTTGGCCTGTTTTCCCATCCACAACATGGGGTTGCTGAGCTCCTCTCTCCACCATGCTGTACAGGGGTGGGGATTTCTCAGGGCCAGGACAGAGTGAGTGAGTGGCTGCAACTGAGGGCTCTGGAGACCTGGGTTCACATCCTGGCTCTACTCTGTATGTGCATTAAAATATGTGAAACAATCGGAACAGAATCTGAACATCACAGGGGCTCCAGAGTGCCTCTGTCCTTGTCAGGGTCGTATTGAGCATGCCATGTGACTTGATTTCAGCCCCTCCCTGTCTGTCTGCCTACTGCACTGTCAGCTCTACCAGGGCTGGGTCCCCCCCATTCTGTTACCAACTTATCCCAAGGACTGGCAACAGTGGCCAGCACACAGTAGGTGTCTCTGTCTTCTCGGTCACCCCCTTCAGAGACAGAGCACAGGCGCAGAGCTGAACTGAGCAAAGGGCTTTCCTGTGAAATCCTGTCTCCAGGGAGTCCCTGGGGCTCAGCAGCACCCACTTCTCGGCCAGTTGGAGACAAGAAACCCGAATCAACTCACAGAAAGAAGGACAGCAAAGCAGCACTGTACTGAGCTACATGTCCCAGGTCTGCACAGAGGCTCTGTGACCCCCACTTCATCCCCTGGTAGCTTCTGTAAGAATGAAACACCCCCTAGTTCTGAGGACCAAAGCTATCAGGGCAACAGGTGGGACCCGAAATCATGGCTACCAGGGGGAGACCCCATCTTCTCCCTGTTGCCCAGGTGAGCTTCAGAGAAGCCCCTCCTGCAGGGTGCTGGGGGCACCAGAGTCCAATGTCCCTACACAGTGGACATCCTGGCCTCATCCCTCCCAAGACCCCAGAGATGAGCCCAAGATGTCTGGTCTGGGGCTCAGAGAGAGAGGGGTTCAAACCCACAGTTGGGCTTTGAAATGGTGGGAACTTGGGCCCCCCACACCCGAGGGAGGCCTGGGCCATCTCATACACACAGAGCCCCACAGCCTGCCTGCTGCTCCTGCCGCTGCCATGCACGGCCCCTCCCCTCCTCCCCAGCAGCTGTTCCCTTCCTGGTCCCCTCTGCCCCGGCAACCCCTCCATCTGTCTTCACACCTTTGGTGGTAACTCCGGGCAGTCCAAGGCTCACCCAATCCATCACGCCCTCAGCTTTCTGCCTGAGCCTCCCGAGGGCCTCTGGCTTTGCATTTTTGTGCTCACTGGGCAGAGGAAACCTGAATCCCACTCAGGAACTTCCAGGAAGGGGTGAAAATACAACGTCCAGCTCCCAAGCCTTTAAACCTAGAGATGAGGAGCTCCCCTGTGGCGTACCTGCTCACACTAGTGGGCCCTGTTTCCCCCCCTCTTCCCTCTCTCCATGCCTATCACCCCATCCCAAACTCCATTCGAAAGGCCAGGGACCCTTCATTTGCGGTGATGAAAGTCCTGCTTCAGGACAACGAGACAGAGTGAGCAGGGAAGAGCATCGGTTAGAGACTCAGGCCTTGGCTTCTCAGCCCTGGGCATCTGTAAAGTGACACGGCTGTCCCATATAATCTCCAGATCCCTCTTCAGCTTTCCAAACTTGTTTTGTCTCACAGGGCCAGGCCTGGGCCCCATTCCGGATCTCGGCAGGGTCCTCTCCTAGCAGGTCCTGGGATCCTCCCATGTATATCTCCCAACCCACCGCTGGAAGGTTGGACCGGACAATTAGCCCTTACACTAATGAGACAGAGGTCATGACCTTGAGCCCCAGAAGTGGCCAATTAGCTCCCCAGGGGAAGCCCTCTGGATGCAGGCTTTGAATGTGCAGGGTTTTGTGCATTTGGGATACCAACAAGAGAATAGGGGAAGCCTGCAAGGACCAGTGCTGGGGACAACAAGTTCAGCAGTCAGTGGCATCACCTCTAGGGGCTAGTGTGAGGGGCTGCCCGTGTTTCCCTGGCACTCACTCTGTGCCAGGACTCAGCTGAGCGCCTTATGCAGCTGGATCTTTCTTTCAAACCTCAACTATGCCCATTTCATGGGTGAGAAAATCAAGGCATAGAGAGGGAAAGGGACCTGCCCTGGGCCTTCCCTACTATTAAATGCTGGAACGGAAATGCAATTCACTCTCAACTATGCAAATTAATAGAGGCATAGGAAAGAACCCAGACATGCAGAAAATTAGCATTCTTGGGAGTGTTTTGGAGCAGAGGTTGGCAATTTTTTTTTTCTGTATGGGCCAGCTGGGAAGTATTTTAGGTTTTGTAGCCCCTATGGTCTCTTTCAAAATTACTCAACTCTGCTGTTGTTAGAGAAACATTGCCATAAGAGGTTGGACATGGCTATGTTCCAATAAAACTTTATACAAACGGGGCTGGATGATGAGGCCTGCAGGGTGTTGCTTGTGGTCCTCCTCTGGCTCCTTTTCCCCCTTAAGTTAACAGGTTTTCTATGTTAATTATATCATCCAGCAACAGGAGGGCAAGACAACTAACATTTACTTGGCTCTTCTTGTGCCAGGCTCTGTGCCAGAGGCTTTGATCCATTAGCACACCGAGCTCAGCCAACATCCTTTGGTAGGAGGGTAGTAACAATCCCTCTGTTTACTGAGGGATAAACAGAGGCTCCCAGAGGCACACTGGCCTGAGAGCGCCCTGAGCAGCGCAGCTGGGCTTTAAACCCTCCCCGAAGCCTGCACCATTTCCATAGCACCACAGCTGTTCGGATCGGCTTGCATCACGCGTCTGTACTCTCCCCACAGACATGGGGGGTGGGGGGGGGCTCAGCAGGTGGGAGACAGAGTAAAACCAATCTCAGCTTTAACTCCTTCCCCCATGGGGATCTGGGCATCTGCTATAGCTGCAAAGATAAGCCCAGTAGTCTCTCAAATTCACCAGGACTTCCGGCATCTTCAGGTCCCAGTCCCCAAACCCACCAATCACCACCACAAGCCTGGCACTATCTTTCCCATTTCACCCAAAGGAGGTCCTAGGACTTCTATCAGCACTACCAGGCAATAAATGGCTTAACCAGCTGCCAATCACATGTGAGTGAACTGGTTCCCAAGATCCAATCAGAGTATAGTTCCTGGTCCAGAACCTCATCAGAAAGAGCACAGGACAGCAGAAACCAGGAAAGGCTCCTGGTTCTAAATCAAAACCCCAGGTGCTGGCAGCTTGCACCAATGCAATGTCTAAATGCACCTGACTTTCATGAGGTGAGTGGGGTGCTGTTGGGCTGAGAGCAAGTCCATAAAATAACCCGTTTATTTCCAGGGAGCAAGAAAAAGGAATCCTTTCCTCCACCTGCATCAGCTTGAGGCAGGTCAACCCAGGACAAAGTCACAGTGATAAGTGAAGGTGAAAGGAGCATTTGCCCTTCCACTTAAACCCTCTCGAGGTACCACCAGCCAGTGGCTTCGTGGAGACCATGAATTCTGAGCCAGCAGGCATCTGGTGATAGACTGGGGGCAGAGGGGAGCAGGACCCTACCTGAGGAGACAGGCCATTGCTGACAGGGTTCATGTGGTTGGAGGGGGCCCCCGGATTCATGAAGCTGTCAGAGTAGCTGGAGAAGCTGTGGCGGGCTCCGTAGGCAGAGCTGGTGTCCGCGGCCGCGGCAGCCGCAGCCAACCCACCCTGATGCATGGTGGATGGCGGGAGGGGCTGGGGCCGGTGCACGGTGCTGCCCCCATCTGTGGAGAGACCAGAGAGAGATACTGGGTGGGGGACTTCCTCCTGGATGCAGGAAAGAGCCATGAGCCTCCTCACCTATCCCTTGGAAGGAAGGGACCACCTTCTCAGGTGACTTGGGATGGGACAAGCTGGCTCTGGACAGCACCAGGGACTGTCCATGTCTTAGCTGAAACCCAACCAAGATTCTAGACATCCTCTAGGCAACCGTCCACTAGCCTTGTTGCACGGTGCTAGGCACATACTAGGTGTTCGATAAACATCAGCTGCACTGAGATGCACACCTCACTGGAAACGCTAATCCACCCAGGCTGGTCCTGTCGGTGGCCTGTGAGCACTGACCACTGCCAAGTGCTTTTACAGATGGTGTCCACAGGCACAAAGCAAGAATGTGACTCATTTTACAGGCGAAGACACTGAGGCTGGGCAGGGCTAGGTGCTCATGCAAGATAACCAAGCTGAGGATGGTGGACCAGCCTTTGAACACCCCGACTCCAGAGCCTTTTCTGCTCCTAGCTACTGTGTGCTGTGCTGCTGTGGCCCGGCCTCTCTGCAAAGCCTTCCAGTTGGGGACGCTGACTCTCCTCAGCTTTCCAGGTGAGGTCTGGAGGCAGAGAGCAAGCAGTGTGGTTCCCAGTGTGGACCAAGGTGGGGAGACAACAGGGCAGGGTCCAGGAAGGTGGGAGGCAACCCTTCTCCCCTACAAAACCATCTCCCCTCAGACCACCTTCCCTTTTCCCCCTCCCCAGACTCTCCCGCCTACCACCCCCTTGCCTCTCCCCTCCTTCCAAAGCCAGGTGCAAATCCCTGCTTTGAGAACGGGTCCCAAGGGACGCCTCCTCCCCAGGACTGTCTCAGAGGCCTGACCACACTCAGCACAGTTGGCATAGGGGAAGGAAGGGTTGATTCTTCAGACTCGAGGGAGGGTCTCTCCAAGCAAGTTTCTTCAGGTCCTCCAAGGAGGCCTGACCTTTAGTCCATCTCTGAAAATGGCTCTTTCAAGCAACAGACGGGCAAGACAATGAGATTCTAGAAAGTTATTTAAGCCCCTTCGTAAATTTTTGATATAGATTGAAGGTTAACTTGATCTCAAAAAATTGTCCCAGTAGCCTCCCAGTACCTGCATACACACACACACACACACACACACACACACACACACACACACAGACGCACTCCACTCTCTCACATTTGAAAGACTCAAGACTGTGATTACACACGGACCCTTGGAGAACCTTCTAATCCTTTCCCTCCAAAGTTGTTCTAAGCACTCCAGATCCTGGATGTTCAACGTGTTGTCCCTGGGCCAGTAGCTTAGACCTCACCAGGGAGCAGGCAGGTATTTTAATAAGATCCCAGATATGTGTTTACTTTACGCTTTGCATAGCTAGGGTCTAAAGAGGTGCACAGGGGCTGCCTGTTGATCCTCTCTCCACGCCCTGCAGCCTCCGGACAGAGCCAAGAACTTCAAGAGCAGGGCTGCAGGGCTTTTCTTTTTTGTTGCAATAGTCTGCCCACAGTAAAGTACACAAGAAGTCATAAAAGGAAGAACTCTTGTCAGAGAAAGAAAGACAAGGAAGGTTGGGCAGGGAAGGGGAAAAGGGGTGGTGGACACTCACCTTGGGAGATGGTGGTGGTGGGGTAGGTGGAGTCTGGCAGCTGGTAAGGGGGCAGCGTGGGCATGCCGGTGGGCGGGAAGCCTCCTGGCAGAAGGTGGTTAAACGCTGCCAGTTGGTTGGCTCCTGCCTGCTTGCGCCAACGGGCACGGCGGTTACTGAACCAGACCTGGGGGAGGGAGAGCAAATAATGGAGATCCCAGGCCTGGCAGAAACACAGTTAGAACCAGTCCTCAGAGCCATCAGCCAGCATCCTCCTCCAGGAAGGAAACCCACCTTCCTGTATCATGGATGGAAGTAGGGTTTACATCTAAAATGTTCCCAAAAGCCTTGAGTGTGGGAGGTGATTGGATCGTGGAGGCGAAATCAGTGGATTCCTCCATGGATGAATTCATGGCTGAATATGCTATGACGAGGCAGGGCCTGGCTAGAGGTGAGTCTCTGGATGCTGTGACCTGGAAGAGTGCATTCTTCTCTCCAGCTCCTCTTTTCTTTCCTTCTCTGCTTCCTGGCTGCCGTGGGTTGAGCAGCCATCCTCCACCATGCCCTTCTGCCATGCTGTTTCTGCCTTGTAGTCAGTCAGCCATGGAGTGAGCCCACTAAAACCATGAGCCAAGTTAAACTTTGTGTCCTCAAATTGTGGGTGTTGGGTAACTTTCCAGCAATGGAAAAGTGACCAATATGGATGATTTCATAGGCATGATCCCTTCTGTCTTCACAGACACCATAGAGGGGCTCTTATCATTATTTCCATTTCACAGATGAGGAAATGGAGGTCTGGAGAAAGTCGGTGACTTGGCCATAAGACAGGGTGAATTGAAGCTCAGACAAGTACGAGTGACTCTCAGCCCAGTGCTCTTCCCACTTACTCCAAGTCCTGCCTGTCTGGCTAGCTCCAAAACACCTCACTCTCTGCTTCCCCCAGGAAACCCTCCAGGAGGACCCTGCACATCTGGAGTACACCTGGATGGGACCCGTGCTCTAGACTCGGCTGCATAGGCTCATTCTTTGTCTGGGGACTGAGACCTCACTTTGCTTACACAGCCTGTCCCCTTGGAATGGGAAACACATGCAGGGGTTTATCACACACTAGGGAAACACTAACTTCATGTCTTTGAGCCTCCCTTTCCTCCAATCACTGGGCTCGCATTTACACATCTGTCTACATAGACTCATGAGACACATTCTCCTGTTCCCACTTCACAGTAGTTCAAGGGTCCTGCATTCTGCATTCACTGCTGGACACCCTACAAGTGCTCACCAAATACTTACTGAATGGATGAATGAATGAACAAGTGAGTGAATAAACAAGGGAGGCCTTAGTGTGTCTTTCCTGGGGCTTTTCCTGGGGCTGAGGCACTCAGAGGAGCCCTTCCCAGTGGGGTGATGACCCCAACTTCCTCTGCCACCCAATCACCCACAATGCCCAAACCTGGGGATCACATCTGCCAAGCGGGAGGAGGGCAGATCAGCTGGGTGGAAGGCGCTTTCGCACCCATGACACTGCTGGTCTTCCTAGGTCCTTCCCAGGGAAGGAGCTGTGTCTGCTTCCTGGGTTGGAGGAAGGGAGCCGCTGCTCTGACCCATTTCAGTTTCACAGGGAAAAGACAGAAGCCCAACGAGGGGTGAAAACTTCTGGCTCCCAAATAAAACCAAAGTCCTAGCTTCTCCCCACCTTCACAGGACACTGATGGTGTCCACAGGGGTATCCTGGGCTGGGCTGGGCCTGCAGGTAGGGCTGAAGCTGCCCTTCATGGCGCCTGTCTCCCAGAGAGCCCGAGGAGACAGGGGATGCTGGATGAGGTGGGTGGAACTGGGACCATGGCTTCAGGTGAGGGGTACTCCACTCCACCACTCCCTAGCCTTCTGGGCCCTGGAAGGGAAGGTCTCAGTTTGGTGCTAATGCACCCTGAGTGCCTTCCTTAGTATTTGCTAATCTCTGTTTAGAACCCAGGGTGGAGCCTTTGCAGGTGACATTTCCCTGCAACACTTTAATCATGTTTGTTTTCCCTGTGCATATTCTTTTTACAACTGCCTTATCTTTATAGAAGTGATACATGCTTTTACCTTAAAATACAGTGACTTTATTAAAAAGTAATCCCCGGCTGGGGATTTAGCTCAGTGCTTCTGCCACCTGCCTAGAAAGCGCAAAGATCTAAGTTCGATCCCCAGTACCCCCCCCCCCCCCGCAAAAAAAAGTAAGTGAGTTGGGCCGGGAATCTAGCTCAGTGGTTTTGTCACCTGCCTCGAAAGTGGAAGGACCTGAGTTCGATCCCCGGTACCAAAAAAAAAAAAAAGTAAGTGAGTGAAGCCAGGCATGGTGGTGCCTGCCCCTGTAATCCCAGCTCCTCAGAAGGCTGAGCCAAGAGGATTGAAAGTGTGAGCCCAGCCTGGGCAACTTACTGATACCTTGTTTCAAAATAAGAAACAAAAATGGCTAGGGTTGTAGCTCAGTGGTAGAGTGCCTTTGGATTCAGTCCCCAGTTTCAGAGGAAAAAAACAACCCCAAGTAACTACAGGTAAAACATGAAGGTGACAAAAAGTCTTGGAGTTGGCTGGGGAATGACCTGAGTTTGGGTGCACTGCCATAGCTGGCAGAGCAGCAGCTGTTCCCTAGGTGTGGCTCATGTTTTCCTTAAATACAGCTGTAAGCAGCCTCCTCTGTTCGTCCTCTGCCCTGCCCTTCCTTGGCCCAGCTCCCTCCCTCTTTACTTTCCTCTCCTCTCCTCAAACCCTTCCAGGCCCTCTCCTGTGGCCGGGGCAAGGCCCTAGGGATGGAGGCACACAGGACTTGGGCCCAACCCTGGTGCTGCCTTCTGCCTGGCCTGGCCCCGACAGTGAGCTTGGGCGCAGCACTCAAGGCTCCAGAAAGAGGCCAGTGCAGGGGCTTCAACCTGGCTTCTCAGAACCCGGGAGGGCTTTCTGGGGCAGTACTCTCCTCTGTCTTCCCCCCTGGTCCTGGCCAGGCCACCTCCCTTCTCACACTGTGAAGCCTGATGACTCAGACTGGGGACCCTGGAGCCACCTGCCTGGCTCTGAATCCTGCCTCCACTCTGGCTAAGAGAGGAAATCTCATGGTGTCTCTATGCCTTCCTCTACTAGAATGGAGCTAATAATACCACCTGGAGGTGGTTCTGGACCGCCAGTGAGTTACACAGGCAGGGTGCTTAGGCAGCGTTATCGTGCATTTAGTATTCTACAGAATATCCTCAGACTTGGTGGAGCCGGAAGGGCTCTTGGCCAGCTCTAACTCAAGCTGCTCATTGACAGAGAGGAAACAGGGGCTTTAAGAGGGGCAGCAGCTGCCCCAGTGCCCCACCCAGATGCCCCATCAGGGCTGAGCTCTTTGAAAGCAGAGGGTGGGTTTACAACTTTGCGTGAGTGCTCATGCTGCACATGCTAAGCAGGGGCTCTGCCCCTGAGCTACACCCATGACCCCAGTTATGCATTTTTGCTCCTTCTCCCAACACCCAGCACAGGGAGCAGAGCACAGTAGGCACCATCTGCTTGCAGAGCTGACTGACCTGGTTCTCTCTGGACAATGAGCAGATAGACCTGGGCTCAGGCCCAGCACAGTGACCACCGTGTCCCTCGGAAGCCACTTCCTGGGCTTCCATCTATAGTATAGAGAAGAAAATAACATCTACCTCCTAGAGTTAGGGAGGACCAAGGAGGACACTGTAGGGTGCTGAGTATCCTGCCTGACGTCACACAAATCCCGAGATGCTATGCCAACATCCAGTGCGAGGTGTTAATGAAGGGGCCCCTCTGGTGTCTCCACAACGGCGTTTCCGTTCAGAGAAAACCAAAGCCAACAGCAGAGTCCCAATTTGGGGCCACAGTGCTTAGTGCCACTGCACAATTCCTTGATTGCTTGGTGCTCATCACCAAGGGACAGGGACATTTTCATAGGCAGGCCCGGGAAGTGCCAAGGGGTGACCCCAGGTTCCAGCACCTCTGAGGCCTCTGTTTCTAGAAGATGCTCTTGGGCTCAGGACACAGCCAATGTGTTCGCCTCCAAGGTTGCATGTGAAGACAGATGCAAGGGTGGGGTTAGACCACCAGCTGTTTAAAATGGAAATTCCTTGAGAGGAGTCCTGGGTCCCCAGGCACTGCTTCTCCTGCCTCACTCCCCTTTGCTGCCCTTCCTGGGGCTTGGGGTTCCTGCTGGCTGCACAGGACTTTGTGGTACCAGGTAATGTCACACAGGCTTCCAGAGGAAGCTCCCACTGTGGGGAGCAGGGCTGGAGGGAGCCAGAGGGAGCTCTTTGTCCTAACAGATCCCCACCTGACATAAGGTTCACCTGCTAAGGTGTTTAGCAGAACAGCAGCTCCATGGCTGCAGGCATGGGGCCCAGTGAGTCCTCAGTGCCTAGAACAGCAGCTGGAAAACAGCAAGTGCTCAATAAATGACTGCCAGAGGAATGGGCACGGAGTTGCAAGGGTAGCCAGGGCTGGGACTGCCAAGAACAGGTGGAGTCTTCCTAACAGCCACCCCCTTCCGTGTCCCAGGCATTTCATAAGGGTTTTTTTTTTGTTTTTTTTTTTTTGCATTTAATCACTTAATCCTAGATGAAGACAGACCCTACTATTTTTTCTCTCTCTCTCTCTAGCTTTTGTGGCACTGGGGATCAAACCCAGGGCCTTCACACTGAGGTATATCCCCAGCTCTTTTTTATTTTTTGTTTGGAGACTGCATCTCACTCAGTCACTAGGTTGCCCAGGCTAGGCTTGAACTCATATCCTCCTGCCTCAGCTTCCCAGAGTGCTGGGATTATAGGTGTGCACTACTGTACCTAGCTCATCTCGCTCATCTCCATTTTGCAGATCAGGGGTAGAGGGGCTGAGCATCCCAGACCACAGACTCTTACAATCAGAGATGACAGCTCGCAAGTCCCCAGCCATAGGATCTCAGCAGTGCTCAGGGGCCTTGAGGTCCTGCCCTGCTCTCTGCACCAGGAATCCTCTTACTAGAGTCCCTGCTTGACTGGACACTGTGCTTTTTTTTTTTTTTTGGTACCGGGGATTGAACTTCGGTCCTTGTGCTTTCGCAGCAGGAGGTGAAACCACTGAGCTAAATCCCCAGCCCAGGACACTGTGCTTTTGCTTAAACATTTCTGGTGACGGGGACCTCATCACCTCGCCAAACAGGTAAGGATGCTAGAGTTTGAAGACATCTTAGTGATCACTGAGTCTCATCCCTTAGCTACAGATGGAAACTGACTTTAGGGAAGGGCAGTGGTCTGCTGAAGGTGACACGGCCAGTCAGAGGAGGCACCCGTGCTCTCAGGCCTGGGCTCTCTGCTGAAGACCCTGCTGCTGGCCATGAAGGCGTTGTTCTCTCCATCTTGGTCCCATCCATGGGGGCCTCTCAGAGCAGCCTGTGCCTCAGTCCTCTCTCCAGGCTAAATGCTCTTTGTTCATCATTTAAAATCTGACATGTCTGCTTCCCTCCTCTGCTGAGAAAGCTCTGGGGCCAAAGAGGGGGGACCAGTTCTGCCCTAGGGGACTTCCAGCCGGGCCCACAGCAGAGATCTCGCCTCTCAGTGCGAGCCTAGGGGAGTCACAGAATTGCACAGCACTGTCACCTTGGCCTCTTCCTGGCTCAGCAGCTCCTCCATTCCCAGACCTCTTCCTGCCCTGGACCTTGAGTGACACCTGTTTTGGTGTCCCCTGGGCCAATAAAACCACGGCCCTGACAGCCAGGAAATTTTACAAGGAGCCATCAGGCTTCAAGGTGGTGGGAAGCAGTGAGGCCTCCAGACGTGGGAATGAGAAAGCACTCGGGAATGTGCCCAGGACAACAGCTGCTGGGACAGGACGTGTGCAGGGCGGGGGCAGAGCTGGGAGGGGGCTCAGATGTCACCCTGAGAAGAAGGGAGGGAGAGATGTGAGGGCCTTGCCTGCCCCCAGCCCCTTGGGGTCTCTCTCTCTAAGGTAGCCCAAGGCCTCCCACCCTGGGAGTGGGAGGCAGAGAGGACACAGGGTTCCTGGAGGGCTCAATGCCAGTTTGCTTCTAGGACTTTCCCTGTTGCTTTCCAATGCCAGGTTCTGAGTCAGCCTGGGCTTTGGCGTCAGCCAGGCCCCACTCTGCGCCCCAGGAACACCTTTTTTCTGAGCCTATTGCTGCACCTGCGGCTTGAGATGTGTTCCTGTGTGTGTGTGTGAGACCATGCCAACCTGCCCAGGTGGCCTGAAGTGCCACCAGGTCATGTGTGGAGTCCCCAGCATGGGAGCTGGCCCTGGGCGGCACCTGGTGGACAGAAGCACCCCCAGGAAGCAGCTGGGGACCCCTCTGCAGCCCTGCCTCCCAGGAACGGGCTCCCAGCAAGTTGGTCATCACAACCTTTCCCTCTTCTCCTCCCCACCCTCCCCTTTACCCACTTTGGGCCACGGCCCTGAGAGGTGCCCACCCGGTGCTCTGTGCTGGAAACAGCTGAGGGCCTCACAGACATTGTCCTCCTTCCCCACAGCAGGCCCGGAACCCCAGCAGGCTCCTGCCCTTCACCCCTGCTCCCCACTGCCTGGGAACCTCACCCTGAGGGCACACAGGGGATGCTTGAGGTCGGGAGTCTGTCTCCTGCCCTGATGCTTCAAACCTACCCCGCCTCCTGCCTGCTTCCCATATCAGGAGACTCAATACCCATCAGAGGAAGCTAGGCCGGTTTAGAAATTTCCCTCCTAAGCCCTTCCTCCCCTCATTGGAGATCTGGAGGTTTCCCTGCTCCCTGAGTCCTCTCTTTGTTCCTCCTTCCTTCCCTCCCTCTCTTTCTAACCCTCTCTACGTCTTCTATCCCTCCTCCACCTTGCACTGTCCACCTCTCAGTCAGTTAACCAACATTTTCTGCCTGCTGACTCTGTACTTCATGGTTAATTATTCATATGGTCCCTAAGTCCCCTGTTCCCAACCCCCGGGGGTACCCACTGAATGCATGATCTCAGTCCATCTCTGGAACACTCCGAGCACTGCCAGGCACCCCCTCACCTGGACGCGTGCCTCAGTCAGCTTGGTCCTTTGTGCCAGCTCCTCCCGGGTGTAGATGTCCGGGTAGTGGGTCCTCTCAAAAGCCTTCTCCAACTCCTCCAGCTGTTCGGCTGTGAACGTGGTCCGACTGCGGCGCTGCTTTCGCTTCAGCGGGAGGTCAGGTTCTGATTCCACATCCGAGCCCTCATCCAGCCGGTTCCCTATAGCCAGAGAGGGAGGACAGGGCCAGAGCTCAGTGACATGGAGGGTGTGGGGGCTGGGAGGGGGACAAGGGACACACTGTGGCCACCCGGGCACATGCCACTGAGGAACAGGTCCCTGCCAAGCACATGGAAGAAGGATATTCACACCAGCATTGTTTATCAGAGTGAAGGAGGGCAGCTACATCCACACCCAGCACTAGGGAGCTGGATACATACTTTCTAAAAGAACCGTTCCATGCTTTAGAAAGCCAGTCCCCTATAGTTGGGCATTTAGGTTATTTCTGCTGGCATAGGAGGATGCCCATGATGTAATACGTGGGGTGGCTTTATGCTAAAATACATGTCAAAATTTTCCAAATCAAGGAGAATTTTCCCATATATTAACATGCCTCAATATGCCTGACTTTTATAAAAGGCAAGGTAGAAACCCATGTGCAAAGGAAAAGCCCACAATGCATTGTTGAACGCTGTGGTCCAAATGTAGCATCCTCACCTCTAGGCTGGGGGACTTTTGTTTCTGCTTTACATTTGTTTGTATTTTGAGTATTTAAATGACGATTGGGCTGGGGATCATTTAGACAAGAATGCGGTTCACTTAGGGGAAACAGTACCAGGGCGAAGAGCAGAAGGAAGGGGGGTGGGCACCAGAGCTGGTGTCAGGAAGCTCAGACCCAGTCTGGTTCTGCTCCAGATGCCTGTGACCTGAGGAAAGCTACCTCCCCTCCTTGGACCTCAGTTTCCCTATTTGTAGCATGAAGGGTTTTGCTATAACAGCCCCTCGCTGGGATGTCCCAAGACCTGTGAGTGACCTTCCAGGCTGGAAGAGGTGACTTCACTTGGGTGTCCTTGGTTGGGTGATCATGGTCCTCGCTTCATCATTTTCACTAAATTCCACCCTGGAACAAGAGGGTGGGTGAAGACTTCTGGTTCCCTATGCAAAGAGAGCCCAGGAAGCTGAAACCATCTTGTTTCCCAGCTCTGGAGGGGGCTGTCAGGCCAGGAATCTGCTCCTGTACTGGGTCCAGCCTAGGAAGGCAACAGGAAGGGCCTGATCAAGCATCTCAGCTATCTAGGCCAAGAGCCTGGGCACCGAGCTGGTTCTCCACCCCAGCCCCCAATCCTGATCCAGCAGGGCAGATGATGGAAGGGAGAGGCCCAGCAGGGCTGAAGCTAACCCTTGGTAGCACCCGGGGATCTGGGGGAGCATGACAAAGGGGCCAAGGAGAAGCAGGAGGGAGAGGAAAAAAGGTCTTAGCAGACTGCTGGGGAATGTCTTCCTTCCTCCTCACCCTGCCTGCTTTCTCTTTTTTCTCTCTGTCTGCATTTCTCCCTCTACCTCCTTTTCCTTCATCTCTGAAATTCCTAGAAGCACTCTTTTCTGTGATTCATTCATCCATCAGTGCATTTACTGAGCACCTGTTGTATGCTTGGATGGGCCCAGTATGTTGGGTACATGGTCAGACCTGGTCCCTGTGTTCAGGGCACTTGTCTGGGAAAGGCTCAGAGACCATGAGCTCACACTGCAGATGGGAGACACTGAGTCACAGCAAGGCAGAGTGAAATACCCAGAGTTTCTGAGTAAGTATCCAGATGGGCACTCACTCTGTTCTCTCCTGACTGCTCACTAACAGTGTCATGCTCTAACTGCATCAAATGCTGGTGACAAAAAGGCCTAGGCCCCTTCCGCAAGGGACACCCCTACCCTCAAAACACAGTGGAAACAAGAACTAATGCAGTATCTTGTGGAGGTGGAGGGAAGGCATGCCAGACAGAGGGAAGAGCATGCGAAAGGCCCCATGGATCCAAGGGCATGAAGGGTAATTCCATCATGGCACTGCACACATGGCCAGGAGCCAGGTGGTTGCACCAGAGTGTGGAGGTCATTCCCTGGGAAGATCATCCCATCTCAGGCAATGTCCCCCTGCCCCAGCTTCCCTTCCCTCCATCCTTTCATCTTGTCCACTGGGAAGTCATCTCTGCATTTTGTTGACCACTTCCAGGCTGTCCTCAACTCTGGCGCCATGCTGTCCGAACAGGGAATCAATGGCAAGGGAGTCTTGCCTTCACCACTGCCTGGCTCATCCCAAGGCCAGAGACCTGGGGTCAGATCCAAACCTTCCTCTGCCCTGTCCCAGCCAGGGCTGACAGCTGCCCAGACTCCTTCCATCACTGAGTGCAGACCAGGGCAGCCACAGCTGGCTCAGCCCCCTCCCCAGCACGTCTGGGGCTCAGCACCAAATACAGCTAATCCCACAGATTCATTTTCTCAAACTCACAGCATAACCTTAATTTTCTTATGGGGACAAGGAGAGCCAGCTCTTGAGCCCTTGCAAGGAGGAAGTGAGGACTGGCAAGGAGGCAGGAATGGGTACCAGGCTGGTCCCTCCAGGGGGGGTCCTTGAGCTCAGGCAGGAGCTGAGTGAGATGGCATCAGGGTTACTGGGAGTAAAATCAGTGGGCAGAGATTGTACTCAGAGCCAGGGATCAGATAGGGAAGGAGAGTGCCAGTCTGACAGAGGAGGCATAGCCTTGACCTGGAGGAAATCCCCGCCTGATGGAGTCTTAGTTTAGCTCCAATGCAGAACCTTCTACAATGACGGGAATGTCTTAGATCCACATTATCTAAGAGGATCATAATAGCCACGTGTGGTATGGAGCCCTGGACAACTGCCTAGTGTAACCAGAGAGCTGAGTTTTTAATTTTATTTAATTTTAAATCAAATTTGTAGAGCCACACATGGCTGATGGCTACTGGGACAGCACATCCTAGACTGTCTTTAACACATTCTTCTTTCCTTTTTGGTTGTTGTTGTTTTGAGACAGAGTCTTGCTAAGTTGCCTGGAACTTGCACTTCTGCTTCCAAGCACCACGACACTCGGTGTGGTCTGTGTGGTCTCCCTTCTTAGTGGAGAGGGCAGGCCACAGGCTCAGATCTCCCTGCAAGCCAGTCTCTGGTAGAATTTCATAGCACCAGGGCCGGGGATTTAGCTCAGTGGTTCCGGCACCTGCCTTGCAAGCGCAAGGTCCCGAGTTTGATCCCTGGTACCAAAAAAAAAAAAAGAATTTCATTGCACTGTTCATTCTGATGGCATCTCGTCTTTATGGCTTCATTTAGTTACAGGAAATGACACTCATCTGCCACTGACAAATTCACCTCCATGAAACAGTTTTTAAAGTGCTTTTTATAGGGCAAAATATTAAAGAAATAATATGTTGATAAGGCAAAATATTAAAGAAATAATAGGGTTGTGACCAAACTGCAAAGACAGTCAGCAAGTGATCAACAGTTGCTCTACGCTGGGTAAGGGGCAAAATTCAAAGTACTTCTTTTCACCCCAGCCCTGGCATCCTCCCACGCCCCACCCATGGCTCACTCTCCACAGGACATGCAGCCTTCTGAACCCGCCACGGGCTTCTGACCCACAATTCCGGACCTCTCCATCTCCCTGACCCTCCCCACCCCTCACTCGCCAGGGACCTGAGAACCCCACAGCTAGACTGAGTCCAGATTGAGGCCGCAAAGCAGGGCCCACAGGTCTCTGCTGTTTGGGAGGACCTAGAAAGGTCCTCTCCAAGGAGAGTGTTGCCTTAAACCCCTTTGGATGCTGAGAAGGGAGAGCAAGTCTGTCCTGCTGCCCCCAGACAGCCACGGACATCTTATGAAAGCAAGACCGAAGTTTATTGGCGACTTCTGCCCCCTGACAAAGAGCTTCCACTGACTCCCCAGCCCAGCTTTCGGGAAGAGACCCCATTCCAGGGATGTTTCTCAGTGCTGGCTTTGTGTGATGAGTCTATGAAGCTAGGATGGTGGGTTCTTTAACAAACAAGGAAAACTAAGCTCAGAGAGGTTCAGTCATTTGAATAGGGCATGTGGTGTGCCCGTGCTTGGCTCATGAAGAGGAACAGGGAGGAAAGCACTGATTGGGAGCCGACTGGAGGACCCCGTGGGACAGCCCTGGTCCAGTCAGCTGCCTTGGCCTGGTGGACCTGAGACCTAGATTCTGGGGTCAGGCTTTCCCCTTGCTGTGTGGCCTTGGACAAGTCACTTTCCCTCTCTGGATCTTCCTTTTTCAGCTCTGAAAATGAGGATAAAATACATCTCTGCATGCCACACTTGATGGCTGTAAGAGTGGAATAAAGGCTGGGCGTGGTGGAATATGCCTGTAATCCCAGCACTCAAGAGGCTGAGGCAGGAGGATTGCCAAAAGTTAAAGACCAGCTGGGCCTCATAGTGAGTTGAAGGCCAGCCTGAACTACATAGTGAGACCCTGTGTCAAAAAAAAGAGAATGTAATAAAAAGACTTTAAGGGTAATTTGGGACAAGGGCAGGAAGGATAATTATTTTTATTGATGATGGCCATAACAGGAAAGAGGGGAGAGCAGAACAAGGCCAAAGTAGCAGAAGAAGGGACACAAAGGGCCACTGATTCAGTCTCCTGTGCCCCCCTCTGAGGCACCTCCCCTTCAGGCCCCAAGGTACCCTTTAGCCTCCGAGTTAAATTCATCAGCAGGATTAAGTGGAATTGGCCACAGAGACGCTGCTGGTGGGGCTCAGTCCTCCACACACTGAAAGCGGGTCACCTCTCGGTGAAGCATGGGCAGCCGGTGTGGGGAGGGGATATGTGGGGACAGGGACATGGGCACGCATTCATTATCAGACACCAGACTCGGGGTGGCAGCAGGAGCAGCTTTCTGGCCAGCTGTGGCTCCTGCCCCACTCCTCTGCAGCTTCTGTGAGCTGCCAGGGTCCCCAGGGCCAGGTGCTGGCTGGAGATAGCTTCACGGAGGAGGGAGACAGCTAAGATCCTGTCTGTGCTCAGGGACAGGGATGTGGGAGATCCACTCAGAGCAAGGAAGGAACACAGCCCTTACTAATTGTATACACAGCGTCTGCTTTCGGAAGCTTTCCAGGCTGATGGAGGAGGTACCACCCTGTCTGGGGATTTTCCAGTCCGATGGGGGAAGCGCTGGTCCAGAGGAACTGGGGCAAGTACAG